AGCAGTTATAAACACCACACACAGAGTTCTCAGTACCATTTAAATAAGTACATAAAGCTCTCTTCAAATCATGGAAAAATTTCAAGGTTGGCCTTGAAATTTGTGAATATATTGCCTGCAAGAAAATGCTCATGAAGCAAAACCAAAGGCTGCGGCTGTAAATCTCTAAGAGGCCACTGTAAATCTGTAAACCATCTGCTATACTTAAATTCTATTTTCCTGATCTCAAAGCATCAACACCACCATTTACTCCTATTTTTTCTCCTCTCTAGGGCTTAATTCAGTCTGGTGGGCCAGATCTATGCTAATCAACACCTCATAGGAAGACAATAAGGTCCAAATGTAGAGTTCAACCTCTTTTCAACCACTGTGAGCAAACCACTTGTGGCCGAAACTTTCCAACCAGTATACCACTCCTCAGGCATGCTGATCACTTCAGTTTTCAAGGCTTTCAATAATTTATAGAGCTTAAGTGCATATAGCAATTTACTAAAGTTCTACAAAGTACTGAAAGAATGAAACACTGAAAATAATTAGTAATGAACTCCTAAAGGGAGCTCCCAATGTGGATTCTAATGAAAAGACTGAGGCAGACCATCCTCAGTTCTGTCAAGGGAAGTCTCTAAAGATAATTGTTTATTGCTCAAGGGGAAATAATTATGCCAGAAGGAACTGTCATCTTAGTAATAAGTTACTGTACAATTAGAGGGAAAAGTCAGTTTGTCTGGGCATGCTAGGGGAAGAACAGGCTGGAGAGTTTTCTAAGGATGCAAATAAGCACACTGGGTCATCTTGGGTTATATGAAGAAACCATTTTTTTTAATTTGATTAAGGTTCAAATCCCTCCTGGTACTAAATGATGGTCTTTTAAGGGGATGACCAAGTAAATTAAGGATGCTTAACACTGATAGCATTAGGAAGCCAGAAACAGAACATTGATTTCTATCCTTCTTCTCCAGCCATGTTCTACTGGCTACCTTCCAGTAGAACATAAGACCAATTCTATTGCATCATCAGAAAGATGGACTTTTCTGAATGACTGTTATAAGCACTTAAGTATTTCTAAAATATGGCCAACTTTCTTTTAATTTAGAATTTATAAATAAATTTACATTCTGGCATATAGTTAAAGAGCATATTTTTATAATTTCCTTTCTGTCCTTTAAGAAAAGGTGGATTTGCTAAGGAAAGCAAAATCAGTCAATCCCACTTGAACATACTTTAGAGAAGGTTTAAACAAAGTACAATTCCAAATAATGAGATCACAAAATGCAGCCCTAATGAAGGATTGGGGCCAATAGACTAAAAGTAGGGAAGAATATGTTTGATGACTGCACTTCTCAGATTTCCTAGGACACTCCAAATTCCAAATACCCTGTCCCACTCTTGCCATCAACTACTGAAATGATTTCAATATTTGACATGCAAGTTAGAATTTCCACATAACTTTTTATTGACAAAAGTAATACAGAAATATTTTTAAGAGCATGCATTCTGATTATTTGATACAGAGTATGAAGTAAATGTGGAAAACAAATCCAGTAAACGTTGAAGGAAAATGAGTTTTACAAAAGGTACTGATAAACCACATTTAATGGTTGATAAAGAAACAAGCAGCCCCTGGCATCCAGGTGCTGGTCAGGCACTCACAGCTAGGCTGCTGTGTTCACCTACGGAACATCGACAATTGAAAAGAACATCAACATCAGACAAGTTCACTTGGTGACAAAGATGGACCAAGACAAAAACAAGACCATTCTGTAACTGTGTGGGACACAAACGCATGAACACAAAAATTACTGTCCTCATGTTCTGGCCAATATCTTTACCAGTCACAGCTTTAGTCTCACTCCTCTTTTCTTGCCTTCTAGTTAAGAATTCTTAAGATATTCTGTCACAAATTATTCCTATTTTCAGACAGCATCCAATTCAGAGCAAAGCTTCACTTCCTTAAACACTCCCCAGGATCACCTAACACAAGACTAAATCCCATAACATCCTCTTACTAACAGATCCACAGTTCCTCGTGGTTTGCATTCTCCATTGTTACAAAAAGTAAATAAACCTAACTTTGTTCAAATACAGGTGTGTTCCTGGTGGTCTTTGGCTGAAGGTAATTGACATAGTAAATATAGATGCATTGCATGCCAACAGAGAAAACAAAATATGTTCATTTCGCTATAATAATGTCATTAATACCAGCTGAAATATATCATTTCTTCAAAAGATGTAACAACTAAAAACGAGACAAATGATTTTATGGACTGGCATTCAAGTACTATCTCTGCCTCTCTCTCTCCTTAATTCTCAAATAATTGCATTAGGAAGCCATGTGAGTAACTGGAAAATATAATAATCATATATGTTGAAACTAAATAGGAAATAGAAACTTAGTGCCTGTGTAAATTCACACAAAATCAATTGAGAACCAAAGGCTGAAATGAATAAAAGGGTTGGGTGAATATACCAACTCCTTAAATCACAAGTAACACATTTGATAAATTTTAATTTGAAATTTAACACGTTAGGAAGATGCCACAGAACATTTATACAAGAGGTAGATGGGAGTGTTAAAAATATTAGCAGAAACAAGAAATACTTAATCGCCTACTTTAAGAAACCAATTTTACATTGATTTCAGGCCTCCTGTCCTATAACTGACCACATTCGATGCTTCGTATCTGTACCATGTGAAGTATTACAGACCACAGTGATAAGGCAGTGCTTCTTAAACTTTAATGCTCATACAAATCACCTGGAGATCTTGTTAAAAAGCAGATCCTGATTCAACAGATTTGAAGTAGAGCCCAGGATTCTGCCTTTCTAACAAGCTCCCTGGTGATGCCAACGCTCTCTCTCCAAACATCATACCAAGTAGCCCAGTCATAACAATTCAATGTTGTAAGGGCAGGCTACGAAGTTTCTGTGGCTTATGCATATGCCTGCAATCACACCTACTGAACTGTTACAGCCCATGACAGGCCCACACACTTCATCTAGAGACGGCTGGCAGTCGACAGTGTTTGGAAGTTCTCTGGCAGCCTAAGGTGGCCCTAGCAGGAGGGAAGCAGCTGAATAATGAAACTGCTTCCTGCGGCATTAGCAACTATTCATACTCCACCGGGCAAAACCGGAATATTCCTTTTCTGTAATTAAGGCAAAAGGAACCTATCTTTTACTGGGATTTCCAATCTCATCTATCTTTGTCTCTTTGTAACTCTACAACATTCACCTGCAAACATATTTTCCCTACCCCCCCAAAGCTTGCTTCAATTCAGGCTTATATATAATTCATATCCTAGGCATTGAAATTTCATAAGTGGTTTCCTGGAGGTTTGGGTCAGTTTGCTCTTAAATAATCATAAACACCAAAAATCTAGAGGCTGCTCAAGAGAAACCAGGAAGACCTTATATGCCCTGTGTTTACAGCCCAGAAGTTGAGAGATAAAAGGGACCTAAGTGTTCTACTAACTCAGTGGGCCCCAACAGTCTTTGGTTTGGAAGATGTGATGCTTGTAAAGGACGTGGGGGTCAGGCCAGCTGGGCCACAGTGCAGCAGATAAACCATCACACACGCCCACAGACTAGCATTGTTCCACAGTCTGCAGTGCAGCTGTGCCTCTGTGTTAACAGAACTAGAGGCTCAGTATGAAAGTCCACCCAGAGCCTGGATTTTAGACTCAGGTGACCTGAATTCTGAAGGTGTTCTTGCACCCACACTGAGTAATGGCACTAGAATTTCAGGGTCAGTGACATGGGGAATCAAGACTTAGAAAGACCTAATTTAAGGCTTCTCTGTATTGGCTGACAACTATAACCAACTTATAAGTGTTTTCCCACGTGAGTAAACTAGGGAGGACCGTAACAGACATGCTTACTTCATTTGATGCCATCCTTGTATCTTTTGCTAAGATCTGAATCAATTACACTCACCAGAGAAAGGATCATTTGACTAGGATCTATGTGTCTGTAGGCTCATTCTCATCCTTTCTCAAACCAATCCTGTGCTGGACTCCTTTCTGGAGGATACCACCGAATGGGGGTGTGTTTAACATCATTACATGAACTTCTAACTACATTATATACTAATTACATGTACTCAAAAAAATCACCACTAGAAGGTTCACAAAATTAAAATACAAATAAGTAAAACAAAAGTCATAGAAGTAATCACACAAAATGGTTTGTGAGGTTTTCTTATAATTCTCACATGCTGAATATTTTCTTTAGTTGACCACTAGACATCAAAGAAAAGACGTAAATGCAAAAACTCTTTAATTGAGAAAAATCTATTTTTTAAAAAGGAAGCTATTTCACTCAATCAATTTTAGTGCTGGAACACAAGAATTCTTGGGAGAAAAAGCCAATTGCTATAGTTTACAAAAGAGCAGACCAGGATCCAGGAAAGTAGAGAAAAATAGCTAAAATATGTGGTTGGTAGTAAAGCCAGAACTGGAACCAAGGTCCAGTATCAGTGCCAAGACCTGTGGTCTTTCCTCTATATCACAATATGTTTACATATTTTAGGACATATTTTATGTTTACATATTTTATTATTTCAGCAATAATATCTTGCACAAAGTAAACTCTCAAATGTTCATTAGATATTTTACTGAAAAAGAGGCAAATATCTAACTGCAAGGGAAATATTAAATTCATACTCTTAAATCAGATCACGATGGGATTCTTATTTTTGTTACTGCTCTCATGTCACTAAAGAGATCTCTAGAAATTCAATGAGCCAATTCACAGTTCATCTTCTAGCCAGACTTCTAACTGTATATCCAGACATTAAAACACAGATCTTTAAAACAAATGCAAAAGCATTTTGCTTTTGTATTGAAAAAAATGAAATTCATCTAAGCATCAAGAATGGATTATAACTTTACCATTTACTACAAAGTATATGGATAATCAACTAAACAACCTATAAAAATAAAAACGAGAAGTTATTCCATACTGTTGCTCCAATCTATTTTTTAAAAAAAGAATGCAATTACCAGTTTGAGGCAGCAGAATTTTGGAATCTTCAGATATTTTACTTGTAGGCACAATCCATGGCTTTTGACTTGAAGCTACAGCAAAAAAGAAATGGAATTCACTGAGAATTTTTTGGGGAGGATAAAGAGACAGAAATAGGTTGCTGGTGTGGTTAAGTGGCTACCAGTAGCCTGAAATAAAAAACACATACTGATCCAATTAAACATTACCACATAGGAAGAAGAAATCAATATACACCCATTCAGAGAGCATTTGAGTAGAGACTAGAAGGAGACTAGAGTTTGGTGTCATACTCTCACCTTTTTGAGGACGGAAAACTAACTAAATGGGCTATATATGGAATTAATAGATTGATAATTGTTACTGAATTTGTAGAAAATCCAATCAGAGAAATAGTTGTTTTTGGCTTTTTTTTTTTTTTTTAAACCAATCAACCACTTGTTTGGCTGAGTTGACTGAATTCAGCAGTTCATTGAGGTTTGCATAGATAAGATCCAGTAAACGTGTCCTACAGAATTAAGCAATCACCACCCACGTGGTAACACCAGATTTAAGGTGCTGTTATTACCCAAGGTGCCCCCAGGTTTCTCAAAAGGGAAGGGTGTTTTTGCCTGAGGAAATTCTGGAAGCCTTTTCGGAGCTGCAATGAAACACACAAGAAATGTTATGGCTTGAAGTGTGAGTGAGAGAAAAGGTTTTTAAAATCTCAAGCTTCAAAAACAAAAAACAAATGCAAATTACTCAGGTAAGGTAAGGGACTGTTTACTAGTATATATTTCTTACTCCTGTGTTTCAATGATGGATAATATAAGACAGCTTCTTTTTCTATTTTGTATAATCAAGCCACTGCATTTGAGGAGTTTGGGTTCTTTTTTTCACCCTTATTAAACTAGTGTCCTAATTTCTTCAGCTATGCGTATGTGTGTTCTCAGATATATTAAGTTTAAACTCAAGTCAAGCACCAAACACATATGAACTAGAAAATGTCTGTCTAATAGTTTTTAAAAATAGAATTTCAGTAACTATGTGACTTTATATTTAAGCTCCCCCAACAACTTTTTTGATATTGCACGTAAATTCTAAGGATTCTAAGAAGCAGTCTGCAGAAATACCATAAATATATCTTCTCTTTCAAGAGAAACAGTTGAGTAAAAAGATATTTAGGAAAAATATAGAAAATAATTTATTCAGTGACACCATAATGTTGAATTAAAAGAATCAAATATAATATCAAAATATGACTACCCCCAAGAAAAATTACCAAAGGATTTGTCATAGAGAAAGACTCTTTAGGATCCTAGATTATAAAATAAAGAATTTATAACATTTAAGGGTTTGGTATTGGAGAGTTTACTGTTCTATAAGCCATGTGTCCCTTCTTTTCTGTGAGGAGATAAATTTGAATGAATTAGCCTAAGGACTTCTTTCAAGTATGCATAATATTTCCAAGGTAATAATAAGCTGCAGTGTTTAATAATTTTTACCTAGAATGCTCAGTGGCAATTCAAACCTAGGTATTAAAATAGTTTGCGGTGTTTCGGGGATCCTTCCCCTAAGAACTGCAATAAAGAAGAATTCAGTTAGAAACTCCCTGAGTTGGGATTTGACATTGTGGCTTAACCATGTCATGTGAGGCATGCTCATAGCAGAGGGTACATTGCGCAGCTGGTGCCTTTCATGGAAATAGCTGTCTTTCCCTGGAAAAAGTTTTACATAGTTATAATTTGAAGGTATACGTTCAAATGGCCATGGTGTGGCATGGAAGATCAACATCACAAGTACAGAACAAAATACGTACATGCTGCTCCTGTTTTTTTTTTTTTTGGAGAAGAGAATAAAGCAGGTTAGATTCTCTTGGGCCAAGAAGCAGCTAACTTGCAAGACATGAAATTCTTAGTAAAAGGCATGTCACTTTGGGGGATACTCCTTAAGTTTAGTACACACAAGACTTGGAAAAGCCAACTGAAATGGAAAGCGCAGACATAGTCAAGACTCTCACTCCTCCAAGCTTTGTAGGTTAAAAGGCTGGCATTGTTTTTCTATACCTCCCAAGAGACTGGTAAAAAGGGTGTACAGTTAGCATATAGCAACCAGAGCTGCCTAGAATATTAGTCATCAGGATCAAGGTATGTCGTTAACACTTTAATGGAATTGGTCTGAGAAACAGAAGATGAACTACTGCCAGTAAGGTAGGAAAGAAAGTGGGGAGGATGGGAAGCCAAGGCATTGGGGTTACTTTTGTATGACGGTTGGGATGTTCTTTTTTTTTTTAAGAAAAAAAGTTCTTAGAATTACCCGGTATTGTTTCTGAAATGTCTAACGCACTAGACACAGTGGGTTTAGTGGTTCTTGGAACTGATTCAGGAGTCACTGGAAGGTAAAAAAGATGACTTTACAAATTAAGATAAATGATGAAACAACTCAAGACCATAAGGCACTTTTGTTGCCTTTTAGAATTAGAACTGACACTTACACGGACTAATTCTTTTCAAGTTAATTATATTAAGGGCTCCCTGGCTTGTGTCTGAACTGACACCTCCTCCCAACCCTTCCTTTCTGGGTTTGTCCACTTTCCATGTGTTCCAAAAAGCACGTGGAATTGACCGCCATGGAAGCATTTATCAGTTTAATCATAATTTTGGGTCTGCCCTTTTTTCTTAGCACAAAGTCTGCGGTATAGTAAGCAAGCACATGATAAATATTTATTAAACAAGTTAATAAATGGGCAGATAACATAATGACCCAGGTCAAAAAGATTTATTTAGAACTATTACATTTTTAAGACTTCTCTCTTCCAAACTGTAGTCAACATGCAAAGCTTGGAACTGGGCTGAAATTATGAGGATTCAAATGCTCAGTCACAGGCTTGTTTCAAGTGCTAGATCAAAGGTAAAGATGACCTTCAGGTAAATAGCTTTTGAGGAATAAGAACCAGGATCATTGAGATTTGGAATGAATTGTGAGCTACACAATTCCAGAATTTTGTAGGGTAAGGATATGAAATAAACACAGTGACACTGAATAATGAATTATGGTGTTTGCCTAAGTGTTTCTGAAGTGGAAAATCCTGAGGAAGGTTTGGCAGAGAGCTAAGAACTCTGTTGACTCTCCCATCAGATACTATGCCAAGAGAAGAAATGTAGTTGGGAATACTTTTCTTGGTATTGGCTAATTATATTGAAATCAGAAAACTACCTAGGAATTTCATTCAAATAGCTTATTCCAGCATCAGAGTCTACCCTTGTTCCAACTCCCATGAAGGTGGGGGATGGAAGGTCCATTTCTCACCTTTAGGTAGGACCAAGTACTTCTTACTCTGTCAGAAATATTTCTACTTGAATAGGTTTCTTGAAATCAGGCCATTTTATTTCCCCACCGATCTTTATTTTCTTTGGACTTGTTAGGAGTCCAAGAGTTTAGTAGAAGGTAAATATCACTGATATTTCAATTTATGGCAATTTTATGGGTTAAGAAATTCACTTTAGATTGGAGTTACTTTGCTAAATGTAGATTTGGAGGAATTCTTGCCAGATATTTGTTTCACAGAGCTCTGGATGAAGTGGTATTGCTCTGGCAAAAACTCTGTAGTTCAGAGAATAACGTGTCCCCAGTGGGCTGGACTTGGGCAGTTCATTCACATAAGACATGCTGAATGTTTGTTAGTAATGGTTGATAAACTGGGGAAAATGCATACTGCGTTTATTCTTTAAAGAATTTTTACTGAACTATTAGGTATTTTCTACATGAGCATTGTTAATCTTCAAGAGACATTGTTACTAAATGATTCCAAGGTATTTTCATAGATATTAAACTATGGATTTATGAGGGATAATGGCATTTTGCTAAACCAATCACTTGTGAAAGTGAAGAAATGAAAACATGCTCTCGTGTCTTCTTATAAAAGGAAAGCACCCAAACCATGGTGTTACATCTTAGTATAAAAATATTTCAGAATGTTGCGGTAACAACTTTCACTTAAAGTGAAAAATACATCTTCCATATTACATATCAGTTATAGAATTCAATGGTTCATTTGCATCTGCTGTTTTTCCAAACATTAAAGACCCAGAATCTCCTACTGTTGTGTGCTTATGATCAAAATGAATTTCCTACTGGCTCTTCACTGAAAAAAACATACAGGCTTGTCAATCAGTTACTACTTGAAAATACATTATTTATTTTCTCAAAGTTAATAACGTAGGGATCTCATTACCTGTTACGGGCTGTGCTGGGATTTTTTCTATCTCTGGTGTTTTAGATTCAGCAGGTAGTGCCAAGGTTTCATTCTTAGCTAAAAAATTCAGAAAATAAACAATTTATCTCACTTCCTCATAACAGAGTATCCAAATATAATTCCCTCAAAACAATCAAGCAACAGACTATTTCAAGAAATCTATTCTGCTCTTATCCCTTCCCACCAGGCAGTCAATAAATTTATTGTGCATTTCTACCAGGGATTAGTATTAGTAGTGACAGTCTTCAGAATTCTTTCTCATTAACCCTAGGTAATTCTTTAAGATCTAAGTTGGCACTGGAATGAGGAAAAAAATCACAACCCAGTACTTGGATAGCTCTCAAGTCATTCTGACTCATAAACAGAGTTTCTTGAAGGCACAGGTTGTAAGGCATAGCAAATGCTCCCTGGAATTTTATATTCAATTACTCCTAATTTTTTTTAAAAAAAATCAATGAATAGAAATTATCTGTTATTATGCATGGTAAAAAATATAATAGGCTATGGCTCTAAAGTTTTAGAAAAACATGAATAACACACATAGGAGACTAAGTTATTTGAAGATATTTGTGGTTAGGAAAAAATACCAACAGTTATTTATTTGAACCTCATGTTAACATAGATATTTTCTTTGGGTCTGTGTGGGAATTCAGTGTAAAAAAATGAAGTCTGTTTTTTTATTCTATTTCTTTTCTCTTCTGACAATTATTCAGGAAACTTTCTTCTAAAATTTAGGTATTCCTTTTCAAAGAAAGTACATTTCTGTACCAGAATTGCCCAATGATTAAGATATTCTCCATATTCTCCAAAATGCACTTAGGATTAACTTGATTCAGCTATTTAAATGACCTACTTATAATATTTTGAAACAGTCTAGTGGCATGAAAGAATTCATTCATCTTTGAGATACCCTGATCATGTCTCCTTGAACTGATTATAATCAGATGGGATTTTTTAAGAGTCCTAAGGCTGTAAGGAACTTCTTGGGTTTCTCAGCTTTGGCACTACTGACATTTTGGGCTGGACAATTGTTTTTATGGGGGCCTTTCCTGTGAAACGTAGGATATTTAGCAGCATCTCTGGCCTTTACTCACTGGATTCCACCCTTCCACAGCTGTGACAACCAAAAATGTCTCCAGACACTGCCAAATATCCTGGGGAGGGGACAAAATTGACCTCTGTTGAGAACTGCTGATCTAATCTGTTCTCTCAAAGTTCTTTGAGGATGTAAATTTTGTAACTTCTTCCTATAGTTCACATCACTGTTGTAAAGACCATTTTCTTCTTTTCAGTTAACATGGGCACAAAATATTCATTTACTTCTGATGGACTTAAAGACAATTATAAAGTCATCCCTTTCACAAAGATCATGGAAGCAAATCAATTCTCAATCTGTATTATGGAAGTATATGATAGATTCCTTGAGCTTATGATTTTCAGGAGTGATTTGAGATGCTAGAAATAGGCGTCACAATTGCTAGTGTACTTGCCATAGCTATCAGTCAAGTGTGTGTTCTGAATTGCTGTGCTCATGAAGCTGTACAGCATGTTTGTACAACAGAAATGTTTAATACCATTGTTCAAATTAATTTAGCAGGACATAAAGAGAAGGGACTCTTTCTGGAATAACTAAAAAAGTAAACAGATCCAGTATAATTTTATGATAAATTCTATTTTTTAGATTTCTAAATCTCATCAACATTTTTTTTCCTTCTTCTTTTGTAGTCACAGCTTTGGTTTAGAACCACTGTGAGTGTTAGCACAGGAAAAAATGTTCAGATTACAAATTTTGATGAGCTCTAGTCCTGTTATTTTCAGCATGTACCACAGGAAGTTTTTTTTTTTAATGTAATTTTTTTCAATGATCTCTTCTTTTTCAGTGTCCTCTTCTCCTTCAGGATTATTTTTGCTAATCCTTTCCCTCCTGTGTAATATCCTACACTCTTGGTGTTTCCCTGGCTGACTAGGACTGTGTATTTATTTATTTTAAAAAATTATTTATTTATTTTAACCTCCAGATTCTAGACTTTCAGGCAATGCTCTGAATTGCTTTGCTTTAGCTCCTTATGCATGCCCTTACGGGGTAATACCATTAACCTAAAATTAGGCTGCTAATGAAGAAAAACAGTAAACTACCTTCCCAAGAGGTATTTGTATTCTCTACCCATCACTAATTCCTTATAGAGGCATACCGTATTTCTAAACATGGCTCTTCCGGTGTGAGAGAAATTGATTGAAGGGAAAGAACTTGAATGGGGACTCTCTGTGACTCCTATCAAGCCATGAGCATTCACCTACACTATCTATGTACAACTGGTCTTGGCAACGGCAGAGTAAAATGCCATTAGGACACGGCCTAAACCCCAGGAAATTCCTTTTCCTCTCTGATTCTTCTTACTGTTTTTCAACACAGTTGTTTCCTTTCATTATTGGCAGGCTAAGTCTTGGCTTTGGCAAACCCTTTTCTTGTCCCCAGGAGGTGTGTGTATTACTAGCTTTCTTGTTTATTTCTCTCATTATTCATACCATGTGTTCTTAGAACAAAAGCTATTAATTTCTTGATGTCCCACATTGGGTCCTGCTGGAATGAGGATATTATTTTTAGGATTTAACCTCTTGCACAGGACTTTTCTGAATTGCAGTGATAAATAACTTCAGGAAAGTTTATTTCTCCTTCATTGGTATAAAGAACTGTTTATGCTCACACTCTTCATAAAAGCCAGTAAATCTAAAATGTAGTTTGTAACATAGCCTAAAATGGTACATTCAGTGGGTTTACTGGACATCTTCAAACATACTGCCTATCAGTCTCTTCAATGTGTAAGAAATTCACCATGCATTCAATTTAAGATAGGTGCTTCCCTAGAAATAAGTTTTAAGATACATATACTATCTGCATTTTAATTTGTCTTCATTAAAATCACACTTAATCCTGAAGTTTCAGTGATTCGTATCAGAATAACAAAAGCAAAAAGCAAAGCAAACCAAAAAATCAACTATTTAATTCTCTAAATTAAAGAAAATGAAAAGCTTGAACTGATATTAAGATAGCAGGTGGAACTTTGGAAAAACAAAACAAAACAAAAAATTTAGGAAATAGTCCTTAAAACCAAGAACTAAGGAACAAAACACATTTCAGTTCAACAGTGACATTTCTTGAAAGACGACATACAGATGGCCAAAAAGCACATGAACTGATGCTTGACATCACTAATTATTAGAGAAATGCAAATTAAAACTACAATGAGGTATCAGTCATACCTGTCAGAATGGCCATCGTCAAAAAATCTACAAACAATAAGTGCTGGAGAGGGTGCGGAGAAAAGGGAACCCTACTACACTGATGGTGGGAATGTAAATTGGTACAGCCACTATTAAGAACAATATGGAGGTCCCTTAAAGAACTAAAAGTAGAACTACCATATTACCCAGCAATCCCACTCCTAGGCATATACACGGAGAAAAACAGAATTCGAAAAGATACAGGCACCCCAATGTTCATTGCAGCACTATTTACAATAGCTAGGACATGGAAGCAACCTAAATGTCCATCAACAGAGGAATGGATAAAGAAAATGTGGTATATATATATACAATGGAATATTACTCAGCCATAAAAAAGAACAAAATAATGCCATGTGCAGCAATGTGGATGGACCTAGAGATTGTCATACTGAGTGACATAAGTCAGACACAGAAAGACAAATATGATATTGCTTATATGTGGATCTAAAAAGGGTACAAATGAACTTATTTACAAAACACTAGTCGAGTCACAGATGTGGAAAACAAACTTATGGTTACCAGGGGATAAGGGAGGTGGAGGGATAAATTGGGAGATTGGGATTGACAAATACACACTACTATATATAAAATAGATAACTAATAAGAACATACTGTATAGCACAGGGAACTCTACTCAATACTCTGTAATGGCCTATATGGAAAAAGAATCTAAAAATGAGTGGACATATATATATATACGTATAACTAATTCACTATGCTGTATACCTGAAACTAACACAACACTGTAAATCAACTACACTCCAAAAAAAAAAAAAAAGTGAGAGCAGTGGTGTGGGAAAAACTCTGCTCATTTTCAGTCTCCTTCACAAATCCTGGTTTTTGAATACTGATGAACAGATTAGGGACCAAATCAGTAAAAGACTGGCCAGCTCCTTCCTTTTCTTCTCCTTCTGAACAACTCTTTCCCAAGAGGCCAAAACTAGAAACAAGAAAATCACAAATAGGAAAGCTCACTGGTAAAGACAAACATACAGTAAAAGCAGGAATTCATAAGCAAACATGATATCAAAACCAGCAACCGTGAGGAGAGTACAAATGCAGGAAATCAGAATTGCATTTGAAATTAAGAGACCAGCAACTTAAAACAACCTTGTATATATATAGACTGCTTTATCAAAACCTCACGGGAAATGCAAACCAAAAAACTACAATAGATACACACACAAAGAAGAAAAACCTACCCAAATACAACACTAACATGGTCATCAAACCACAAGAGAAGAAAAAAGGAAGGGAAGAAAAAAGACCTACATAAACAAACCCAAAACAATTAAGAAAATGGCAATAGGAATACACATATTGATAATTACCATAAATGTAATTGGATTAACTGCTTCAACCAAAAGACACAGACTGGCTGAATGGATACGAAAACAAGACCCATATATATGCTGTCTACAAGAGACCCACTTCAGACCCAGGGACACATACAGACTGAAAGTGAGGGGATGGAGAAAGGTATTCCACACAAATGGAAATCAACAGAAAGCTGGAGTAGCAATACTCATATCAGACAAAATAGACTTTAAAATAAAGGCTGTTACGAGAGACAAGGAAGGACACTACATAACAATCAAGGGAACAATCCAAGAAGATACAACAATCGTAAATATATATGCACCCAACATAGGAGCACCTCAGTATATAAGGCAAATGCTAACAGCCATGAAAGGGGAAATTGACAGTAACACAATAATAGAGGGGAATTTAACACCCCAATTACACCAATGGACAGATCATCCAGACAGTAAATTAATAAGGAAACACAAGGCTTAAATGATACATTGTAAAAGATAGACTTAATTGATATTTATAGGACATTCCATCTGAAAGCAGCAGAATACATTTTCTTCTCAAGTGCACACAGAACATTCTCCAGGATAGATCAAATCTTGGGTCACAAATCAAGACTCAGTAAATTTAAGAAAATTGAAATCATATCAAGCATCTTTTCTGACCATAGCGCTAGGAGATTAAAAATCAATTACAGAAAAAAAAACTGTAAAAAACACAAACACATGGAGGCTAAACAATGTTACTAAATAACCAGTGGATCACTGAAGAAATAAAGAGGAAATCAAAAAATACCTAGCGACAAATGGAAATGAAAGCACGATGATCCAAAACCTATGGGACACAACAAAAGATGTTCTAAGAGGGAAGTTTATAGCAATACAATCTTACCTTAAGAGACAAGAAAAATCTCAAATAAACAACCTATCCTTACACCTAAAGCAACTATCTCGAGAAAGAAGAAAAAGCAAGTCTTTCCCAGGCACGGGGCTAAGTATTAATAGGCTCTGGGCAGAGAACAGGTGAGTGCAAGAGTCCTGAGCTCTGGTTCTAAACACAGGTTCACTCAGGGAATTTAATATGGAAGCTTCCTGGCTTTTAGCACAGCATTTAGATGATGTAGAGTTGAGTCTCAGGGTTTACAGATAAACAGGAGGTGATCAAGTCTGATGCACAAATTAAAGAAATAAAGCCTAGAATCACTTGTCTACATTCTTGGAAGTAACTCACCATAGGACTAACAGGTATGAATGTTTTACAGTAAAAATGTAACAACTGCACAAAATCACAAAGATTTATAGGCAAATATGTTCCTATCTTAATAAAATGGTGATGCATAGATTTTGAAAATTTTTCCAAAATTCTAAGTCCACTAATTATGCTTTTCTACCCACTTATTAAGGCTTTGCTCCTCCTTCTTCCAGGAAGTTCTCAAACTAACAGCTAAGGAGAACGTAAAGGTTTACCTTTTAGAACTGTTACAATCTGATTGCTTAACATCAAACAAGCAAACAGGTCAGACCTTCAATGAGGGAGGAGAAATTAAGTCTGAGGTTCCTGTGTGGGTGGGTCCTGTGCCTGTGTAAATCACAATTATGTCCCGAGCCACTTGCAGTTCTGGCCCCGAGTAATGCTTAATAAATATTTGTTGAATAAATGTTGCCAAACAGGGGCTTGGGCCTGTTTCCACACCCATAAAATGTGAAGATTCAAGTATATAAGTGCTGAAGTTCTTAGCCATTGCCTAGTTCAAGAAAAATATTCTACATTTTTAAGTCTTGTTCAATTTCCACCACATCATGCCACCTTCTTCCATATTTATCAGTGGCCCAAGACATTCTCCAGAGACTTTACAGGGGTGGTTCTCAAAGTGTGGCTTCCAGACCAGCAGCACCAGTATCACCTGAGTACTGGGTAGAAATGCAAATTCTCAGGCCCCACCCTAGACCTACGGAATCAGTATCCTGGGGGTGAGCCCAGCAGCCTGGGTGTAACAAGCCCGCCACGGCTTCCGATGCTTCATCAAGGGTGAGATCCTCTGCTATAGAGAGAATTCAGACTAATGTGATACTCAAATGCAGCAACTAGCTTAGCCCACTGGCCACCCCAATTGTTTCCTGGACTCCTTTTACAGAATTTTGCTGCTTTTTTCCCCAAATTGTTATGTTTTATGTTTTTTAAACACTAAAATCATATCAGGTGCTTTCTAGAAGTAGGAAGCAGTATCAATCTCAAAGTAAATAATAATTCTAACAGACCTGACCCTTACCTCAGTTACCACTGAAGACCTCTAGTGGCCCCTTGATAGTATAGTATAATAAGTGTAATTTATAACAATGACTCCATTTGAAAATTATACCTGTATAAATGTGTATATTTTGGTTAATTTGATCATTCACTCTTCTTTCATAAATATAAATATAAAATAACTATTTCCCTATAGAATGTGATTTATATGAATAACTCCAACACTCCATCCTATCTACCCTTTACTTTTTTTCCAATTTTTTTTATCGTGGTAAAAGATACATAACAAAAAATTTACAATCTTAATCATTTTTCAAGTGTACAGTTCAGTAGTATTAAATACATTCATACTGTTGTGCAACCATCACCACCATGCATCTCCAGAACTCTCCTTATCTTGTAAAGCTGAAACTCCATACCATTAAACACTAATTCCCTATTTTCCTCCTTCTCCAGTCTCTGGCAGCCACCATTCTACTTTCTGTCTCTATGAATCTGACTACTCTAGGTACATCATATAAGTGGAATCACACAGTCATTTTGTCTTTTGTGATTGGCTTATTACACTTAGCATTATGTCCTCAAGGTCCATTTCTACTATAGCAAATGTGAGAATTTCCTTCCTTTTTAAGGCAGAATAATATTTCATTGTATATATATACCACATTTTGTTTATCAATTCATCTGTTGATGGATACTTGGATTGTTTCCACATTTTAGATACTGTGAATAATGCTACTATGAATATGAGTGTACAAATATCTCTTTAAGACCTTTTCCCCACCCAGTTCTTTTGGTTATATACCCAGAAGTGGAATTGCTGGATCATATGGTAATTCTATTTTTAATTTTTTGAGGAATCGTCATACTGTTTTCCACAGCAATTGTACCATTTTATATTCCCATCAACAGTGCACGTGCCTGTCCCTTAGTTTTTACTTTGAGATCCTCAAACAGCTCATTTGCTAGATCCCTTGGATATCCTAGGAATATCACTGCTAGTACTGTCACTGCAAAGTTCACATATAGATCTTTGCTGCTTACCTAACTGTGTCTTGATTGCATCCGAAATCTCAAACATTATGGAGGTAGGAAGTTTTATGGTGGTTTCATTAAGACCTGGAATAACAAGGTGGACTGAAAGAAAACAGAAGTAAAAGGAAATGCATCCCATCACAAAGTTCAGAGCATTAGAAACCATGAAGTTTAGTGCTTATTTTGCTTAGTCAATTTTAACCCAAACTTTAAAATGTTGGAAAAAATATGACAGTAACTTTTATGCAGAATCTTTTTCATATTCAAAACTGAACAACCAAATATTCTGGCTTTTAATCCATAGACTCAAAAATTGTAAAATGGTTGCTTAAAATGTGTGAACAAACACCATTATTAACAACAACTTTTAAAAGAGTAATTCAATATGACAAAGATGCCCTCATAACAGCAACAGCCCTGTGGGGTAGGCAGGAGGGGAGCCATCACGCCCAATAGGCACAAGCTAGAGTTGTTTCTCTAACACACTAGGATAGAGGTAGCATCTCTTGGATCCTAGCCTGGAATGGTCACAAGCCAGGATGCTAAATACTGAAAGTAAATGAACCAACATCAATTTAACAGACCTGCTCACAGTGCAAAATTCCATAAGGCCTTATTATCAAAAAAAAAAAAAGAGCCTGACTTGACTAATGTAGGTGTAGATTTCAAGATAGACTCACCCAGTATTGTTCCTCCATAGGGAGTCTTTTCTGGGGATTTAGTTGAGGCCCTGTGAGTAACATTCTGAATCACTGTTGAAATACCAAAAGATAACAGTGTGAATGGAAAAAAAATAGTCAGGAAGCAGAAAGAAGCTAATAACATGACACCATCTGCACTGGAGAAACCCTGATCTAACTTTTTAATTAACAGAAAGGAACTCATTGGGCTGGCTACACAGGCAACGAAAGGTCTAGAAGGCACATCTTATCTTAATTCCTGTGCCTTTAAGTAATGAAAGTGTTCCATTCTAATTAGCTAAAAATTTCCTTTCTCAGCTCTACTCTCTGCAGCCTACCCAAGTTAAAGAACTAGCATAAAATGAGGCAAAGACTGACTCAGTAAATAAAGAGATTTAGGAAATGTACATTTTCAGAGCAAAGAATCTTTGGATAATTCCAATACTGACTGACACTGTTTTGAGAATACACTTGGGACATTGTGTTTCCTTAAAATGAAAAACTATTTTAAGTGCTCAATCTCTTCCACCAAGAAACTTTCTGGAAATAATGGAGTCATTTAAATAATTTGAAAAACTGAAAGTCAAAACAAAAATGAGTGCATGCTGAAATAAAACATAACTCTTAAAACCTGGATTTCTTTACTTTCCTTAAAGTGACCTCTATATCATAATTATCATTTCATTAATCCAAATATCCTATTAATGATTTTCTACATGTAAACTATCTTAATCCTGAAGAAAGCCACATATATTTAATTGGATTTTAAAACTTAATGCTTGTTAGGGTTGCTCTGTCCCTGGTTGTCCAGCCAATGTGCTTTGCCAAGACCTGGCCTAACAGTACAAGAATCAAAATTATCTGTCAACTTCTAATTTACTAGACTGATTTCTTCAAATTTTTTCTGGAAAATAATCAGAAAAATTGAAAAACTATGTGCTATGTTTAATTATCTCAGTTTAAAAAGTATATTAAAATAGTTCTAAACACATATCAAGAGCAGACACATACAAATTACCTTGCTTGATGATTGTTACTGGGATTAGCTTTTTTGGAACATATGCTGGCTGAAAAGAGAGGAAGAGAGTCAGCTTTTGAGTTACTGTTAACTTAAAAAAATAAATACGTAAAAAAAACTGGAAGCAGACCTTGTCTTTAGTGAAGTTCCCCATGACACAGGTTTAACAGCTGCTGAAAAGGTCTTTAGTACATATATCTGCCTCTATTTTATTGTGCTCACTTGGTTTTCCCCATAAGTGTCCAAAGATTTGACAGAAGCAGTTTCTTCAAAACTCCCATTAGTTTAATTTACTTAGAAACTGCAATGGAAAGAAATTAAATCCTCTGAATTGAATACTAGTTTATTTTCACTTCATTTGAGAGGCGAACCAGCCAAATTCTGTCTTTACGTTTCCTCTCAAAAAAAGATTTCAAGCTACATATTCTTTTAAAACCAATCAACATCAATTGTCTGAGTATGCCCCACTGCTGCCCTGCTACTTCAGATACAACTGCCGTGAACTCCTGATGCCACGTATTTCCTTGTCCATGAAGGCAGAGCTGGGACTCAGAACCAGACATTTCTACTTCCAAAGCCTGTACTTTTAACTATTCTGTACATATTCGTGCCCAGAGGACCTCAAAATTGAAGGGCAGGTCCCAGAGGACTGTGCATTCTCCCTTCTTCCAAGTTGCCTCAGACGTCCCACAGGAAGTTTTGATGCCATAGAGTGGCTTGACCTAGGGGCACATTTAGTGTTAACTTTACAGTGGAGTCATCACTGGAGATTGTGAGCCAGGGATAAGACGGCCATGGGAGAGACACAGAACAGGATAAGAGAAGGGCAGCAAATATACAGAGAATTAGATTGAGGTAAAGGCATAAGCATGACATGCATTTTTTGATGCTTGATTTAACCTGTATGCATGGTATAGATACTCCATGTACTAGATCTGCTGACAATCCAGGATATGCTGAATGAGGTACTTAACCACATAGGTGTTTACAGTTGTGAACAGAAGAGACTTGCTAACGTGTTCCCATTCTAATAAACGATATGCCCATAATAAAGAAGTGCCACAATACCACATTTACTGTTGGCTATTTTCCTTCTTGTAGTAAAGTCCTTATGTTTAAAAAACACAAAAAATAGAAGTTTACTTTTATCAGATTATTTTTAAAAAGTATGTATACTTCTTGTATTGTATATTGGCCCAGCGCTATAGACTGAAAGCTTGTATCCCCCCAAAATTCACGTGTTGAAACTTAATCCCCAGTGTGATGGCATTTGGAGGTGGGGCCTTTGGGAAGTAAATAACACATAAGGGTTCCACCCTCTTGAATGGGATTAGTGCTCTTATGCCAGAGAACTCCCTCCACCCTTCCACCATGTGAGATGGTTGTCTGTGAGCCAGAAGTGAGTTCTCCCCAAGACACCAAATCTTCCAGTGCCTTGATCTTGGACTTCACAGGCTCCAGGACTGTGAGAAATAATTTACCGTTTAAGCCACCCAGTCTGTGGTATTTTTGTTATAACAGCCCTGATGGACTAAAACACCCAGTAATTTCCTACTTAGCAGTCTAGCCTAAGGAAGTAATCAAAGATACAGGCATCATTTACGTGTAAGGGTGTTTATTACCACAATGTGAAACAACCTCATCATTCCAAAGCAGAGGTTTTGTTAAATAAATTATGGTTCAAATTTTTGACATCTATTTACTAAAGTGAGAAATATGCACAGTATAAATACAAAGGACACAAATTTATATTCATAGTATAATGTAACTGTATAACAAATATGTATAGACAAAAGACCAGAAGGAGATAGCTCTTTTTTTTTTAACAGTAGTTATTTCTTATAATCTCATATTTTATTTTGTGTACCTTTCTATATTTTCCAAGTTCCTTACAAGGGTGAATTACATTTATAACTAGGAAAAGCTATTTTAACCAGCAGTCTTTTTAGCTACTATATATGCTTCTGTACTGCATAGCTCATACACTCTTGGTCAATAGAGGAATGATGTAAATATAATTTATACACAACTTTTCCCAGGCAAGGGGAGGGGAATAGCAGGAATGCAAGTATAACCATCAGTAGAGAAAAAAAAAGTCAGCTTTGAGGTCACACTGGCAGAAGACCTCTGGATTTATCATAAGAAAATTAAATAAGTGTACCTGCTCACAGGACCCTTCCCCAGAGAGGGACAGGCAGGCCCACGGCCCTGCACTGGTGTGTCCACCTTACGTCCACCTGTGCTGCTTCAGCGAAAGGGTTGCCACACGTGGCCTCTATCATTCCTGAGCACTTAACCCCTGCTGCGGCAACCTCCGGTTCCACAGGGGATGCTGGCCCACGGAGCCGCACTGTCCTTCCCGGCGCTAATAATCACGTTCGACAGAACTGTGTCTACCGTTCCAAAGACTGTTGAATGGCTGGTCCGCTGTTTGCCCAGTGAGTCCTGCCATGTAGTGTATATTTGGCAGAGCGTGAAGTTTTTCAGAGACACATCACATTATAGCAGAAACGCCTATGAGTTGATGTGCTGATTGCTTTTGAACGGCATTATTGCAATTCTTATTTCCTTCCCTGTGGATTTGTTTTAAACAAGTTTTTGACAAAAACAAATGGAAAATATTCCACTCTTGGCATGAATGGAACACAGTGTCTGTTCGAGTTCTTATATGGGTACAGACCAGTGCTCTGTTAAGACGATGACACGACTATATGGGCAGCGTGTGCTGCCAAAAAACAAGGAAACCATTTAGCTGCAGAATCAAGTTCTTTCTAGACCTATAATTATTCTCTTGCCCAATCTACAATCCAAAGATGCGCCAAGACTAATGAGCAAGTACTAGCTCCCTCTCTGTAAGTAGGGTTTTTTTTTTTTTAGTTGAAATATAGTTGATTTATGTTGTGTTAGTTTTAGGTGTACAGCAAAGTGATTCAGATTATATATATATAAGAATGTATACATATATGTGCATATATATATGTATATATATATATATTCTTTTTCAGATTCTTTTCCCTTATAGGTTATTACATAACATTGAGTATAGTTCCCTGTGCTCTACAGGTCCTTGTTGGTTATCTATTTTATACATAGTAATATGTATATGTTAATTCCAACCTCCTAATTTATCTCTCCCCTCCCCTTTCCCCTTTGGTAACCATAAATTTATGTTCTATGTCTGTGGGTCTATTTCTGTTTTGTATAGAAGTTCATTTGCATCATTTTTTTTTAGATTCCACACATAAGTGATATCATATGATATTTGTCTTTGTCTGGCTCACTTCACTTAGTATGATAATCTCTAGGTCAAGGGCATCAGGAAAATCCTTCTGCCCAAAGTGTTTAATGCTGAAGGCTCTAAAGTTCCCAGTAAGAAATCCACACTATGAATTCTTTCCCTGTGTCTTTTTATAAAAATGTAGGGAAACATCTGTAACCTGGACTTACTGAGAAATAAAATATTATGATAATTTCCAAGTTAACAGTATGTAACCAATTACAACTCAATTTCAATTGAACTGTTTCATGTATGATGTTGTTTATAAAGTTACCAGTAACCTTTCCTTACAGTCACAGGTTTGCTGTTATGAGCATCTATCAACGTGTATAGAAGTCTCAGTGTAGCTGGTGTCGGGTGTCGGGGTGGGAAGCGAGGTAGTGAAAGTCCCGCATGCCACAAGATGCTGCGACAGTTTTGCTGGGGTGGCCTCAGCACAGTACTACTGCTCCCCACGGACACCACCCTGGTACCAGTTTTCTTTCTTAGGCCATTTCCTCCCTGGGTCTCTTTTCTCTGCTGCTTGCTGACCCCAATCCTGCAGCAAACCTCCATCACCACTTCCTTCCTCAGCTCTCATCCCACCCTTCAGCAATTATTTTTTAAATGTTTATTGTATGTCAGGAAGTGAGTATATTTCCCTCCTACCGTTTAAGGGATTAATTATTTTTTTCAGTTTTGAGAAATTCTATTCCTTAAGAACCCAGGTTGTGCTATATCCTGAGCAGGGTGACTGGCTAAGGGAAATCATTTTTACCATTTTTCTGGGGACACTGTGGCTGAGTATCCAGTTGGTGAGATTCAATGGGGAGAGGATGCTGAAGTGGTAAAAGGCAATGCCCCTGCGGGCCAGTCCAGCTTGCTTTCCAGTTCTGGTTAGGGAAAACCTACACTCATCTAGAAATAACCACAGCAGCAGTAGCCACATGAAAGACTTTGGATTCACCCTGCATTACACTACCTTCGTCCCGATATTATATTTTGAAAATTAGCTTTAATAAAAGTAGTGGTAACATCAGGGTGCTGTTCTTTGCAAGTTACTCTTTACAGGTTTGTCCATTTGATATTTTTGTGGCGGCAGCATATCCATTGTAGATTTAACTTTATTCTTAGGCCCTGAGATAAAGAGGAACTGTCCATTTGGGGAGTGGTTAAGGGATGCTCAAACTCAAATTTCAGCTCTTTAGACTCAAGAGCTAAACAACATGAGAAAAACTTGGGCATGTTACATTCTGGTTTTAATTCATTTTTTGGATGTCCTGATGAAAGTTATGAAATGTACTGATTCAATCTAACATCTGACTAAAAGTGAATCTAACATCCTTCTTGCGAAAGTCTCCATATTTCCAGTCAGCTAGGGAGGAATCAGACATACACCTGTGGTGATATCAGTGGTCTAGACATAAAATTTTCAAGTTTCTGCTTAGGACGATGATTGCTGAGAATGGAAGGACACCTGATGTGCTCACTGCATACAATCTTAGGGTGCGGGTGGGGACCACACTGTATTTTTCCCTATTCACTCATCTGCTAACTGTTACACTTTAAAAATTGGTACCACTTTCTTTCTGCCAATGACTGAAATGGCTTTTTAAAAAGGTAGGTGGATCTCTGATGGAAAAAAATGGAAGGGTGGAAATAGATGTCATATTTTAGGGGAACACTTATTCTAAGGAGATTTGGATTAAATAATTAAACTTATATTTTAAAATATCTGTTAATAAATGCTACACACTTCAAAAATTTATTGTTTGGTTAGTGAACTAGTTAGATAACTAAGTGTTTTTAAAATATAGAGAGAATGTATTAAAGTTAGGTCCTTTTAGACATCATTCCTTTATTTTTTTATATAATAAAATCTAATGGGGCTTCCCTGGTGGCACAGTGGTTGAGAGTCTGCCTGCCAATGCAGGGGACACAGGTTCGAGCCCTGGTCTGGGAAGATCCCACATGCCACGGAGCAACTAGGCCCGTGAGCCACAACAACTGAGCCTGAGCGTCTTGAGCCTGTGCTCCGCAACAAGAGAGGCTGTGACAGTGAGAGGCCCGTGCACCGTGATGAAGAGTGGCCCATGCTCGCCACAACTAGAGAAAACCCTCGCACAGAAATGAAGACCCAACACAGCCAAAAATAAATTAATTAATTTTAAAAAAACAAAACAGTTTACACTTAAAAAAAAAAAAACCTAATGAACTTATTTACAAAACAGAAAGACTTACAGATATTGAAAACAAACTTATGGTTACCAAAGGGGAAATGTGATGGGTAGGAATAAACCAGGAGCTTGGGATGAACATACACACACTACTATATATAAGATAGATAACCAACAAGGACCTACTGTGTAGCACAGGGAACTCTACTCAATATCCTGTGATAACCTACATGAGAAAAGAATCTGAAAAAGAATGAATACATGTATATGTATAACTGAATCACTTTGCTGTACACCTGAAACTAACACAACATTGTAAATCAACTCTACTCCAATAAAATTGTTTTAAAAGAACCTAATAGTAAACACTAGGTTTCACCTTGATAAAAAGAGTGTTCTTGCTTCTCAGCGTGAAGAAAATAGCAAAATTATCAGCTGTTTTTTCTTCTGCAGTTACATGGATCTCAAGTGATACAACTTATATGGGAAGAATCAGGGTTATTGTTTATGCATACATCTTTTCTCTGATTTTTCTAGAGGTGTAGGCAGGGATGATATTGAAAGTATTTAACAAGCAGTAGAAGGAAGGCACTAACCTATGAGAAGAGACCCCTGCTAAGTGTCCTCTGGCACAAGTGTACTGGGACTTGCCTGCAGAACACATGCTTAGATACATGAATTACAATATATAATGTAACAAGATGCTTCAGATGGGGCTGTATTCAACATTCAAATTTTTAATCTAAATATTATTTATCTATTAAAAATGGATCGCCTCAAGTTCAAATTGTTTTTCACATTTCCAATCTCTTTTCAGAAGGTGTGAAGGAGTTTCTGCTGCATTTAAGTTTTAGGTATAAGCATGCATATATGAATAAAAACATTTTTCAATGTATCTTTTACTTAAAACTCTGGAATTAATTTCATATCTCTTGAAATACTGCCTTCTAAGATCAGTCTCAGACAAGAGGTGGGTACACATTGGATTGATATCGACTTAAAATATTAAAATATACCTCTAAAGTATCAAATCAACTTTCAGAATCAATTCTAAATGATTATATAAGATGGTCAAAGTCTATCCCAGCTGGTTCCTTTTCAACTTTCCCATGTTCCAGAGCTACCCAAATGCACAGAAGGCAGTTTGGGAAACATTTTTTCTGCTATCTAGAAGATAACAATGAAGAAAGGCTTACAGAGAAGCCTTAAAATATCTTTTCAGTTAATTCGACTTTTCCTTTGGAAATACCCAAGAGTTTCAGAGCACAGCTCGTTAGAGCTGGCTGGAGTTTGGGGTAATCTGCCTCACAGCTTGAAGTGATAAAATATCTGGCTCTGTGTCATAGGTGCAGGAAGTTTCTAACTGGACCTTCTTGGCATGGCTATTTATGATGTGGAAAATAAATTAAATTTCTTGGAAATAAACTGTCAATCATCTTTCCCAATCCTGCTGAGTAACTCACCCTAAATGAAATATTCTGCCAAAAGAAATACAAATTATTGAGATATGATTGCTGAGAAGAAGGAATGAAACAAACGACATCGAGTCACGCGTAAGATAAAGCAGGACAGCCAAGAGGATGGAGATAAGATGTGCTTCCTAGGAAACCACTCATAACAACAGCGAGGATTGTTCTAGAAGAGAATGGAAGAGCAACTCTATTCCCTGTGATTGGATTTAAGAGAGACAAAGACAAAGGGACCTTAGGGAACGGCAGAATTCAATACTTGGTGCTAAGCCAATTGGTTAATTATTTGGGAAAAGTATATAACCTCATCAATATAGGACCTTACTACATATAATATAGCAAAATAAAATCCACATAGGTTAGAGTTTAATTACTACAAAATCAAACCACTTATAAGACAAAAAAAAAGAGAAATATTTATCTGATCTCTGGATAGGGAAGGGCTTTCTAAAATATAAGGCAATTGGAGATATGACAATGGAAAAGACAAATAAGTTGATTAAGCAAATTAAGACTTGCCTATTTCACAAATTCCCATAAAGAAAACTGATAACGAATGTGCAAATAATGTTTCTAGATGATATCACAAAGAGTCTTTGCTCTTTAAAGTCTTTAAACTATTCAATAAAAAAAACCATGAGATGCCCAATAAACAAAGAACTGAAACTAAAGGTCATTAAATGGAAAATACAAATGGCTAATAAATAAGTGAAGAAAGTGCTGCTTTATCAGCAATCAGAAATAGAAATTTAAAAACCATTTTATACTATTATACTACCCAAAATTTTAGGGATGGAAATACATAATGTTGAAAATCAGGGTACTACAGGAAGATAACTCTGATCCATTGCCAACAAGATTGTAAATTGGTAAAACCTTTCTGGAAAGAAAGTTGACCAAACATATTAGAAAGTTTAAAAAAATGTTAAAACTCTAAACTGTTAATTCCTCTTCTAAGCATCTACTTTAAGGAAACAATCAGAAATGTGAACAAAGATTTATGATCATAAATGTTCACCATAATATGACTTATAATTAAACTGTTAGAAATAACTTAAATGCCTACAAATTGGAAACAGATTGAGTAGCTGATAGTGTACTTAGATTATGTAATACACAGCAATTGAAACTATGTATATGAAAAGTACTTAATGACATGAACTATGCTAGGCCATATTTTGGCTAAGTGAAAAGAATGAGATATAAAATTGCACATAGAGCATGATTTTAATTTTATAATGAAAACATGCTTGAAAAAAAATACAATGTTCTAAAGTTTTAACAGTAGACCATAAATGGTTTTCTACTGGTCTTTATTTGGCAGTGTTATAGGTAATTTTGTTAATTTTTCTTTTCTCATTTTTATACATTATAAATCTTTAAATATCAGATAATTAGGAAAATAGTCAAAACCAAACAGAGAAAGAGAGAGAAGAGATGGAGGCAAGAGAGAAAGAAAATAAATGAATCAATCAATCCAGGCCTCAGAATTTACCTACAATCTCCTTTCTTATATTTTGATTTTAAATATACCAAAATACTTTCCTGGGCAGTCACAATAATTTAATAATCATGACAATAATTTTCCAATATACATACTTTTCTGCCAGTTCAAACCAAAGAAACACTTCCTTTATCAGCAGTAATTCTCAGTTCTATTTTATCCAAACCCATTTTCTGTCAATGAAAAGAATCTTGCATATTTTTATTCACTGAGGTATGTACTACCATTTTTCCCCCACTGGGCTACATGAACAGTGGGGTATTCTGTGGACTATTCAATAGACATAAAAAACCATCTATCCACATACATCATGCACACATTGAAAAGAACAAATTTGCAACCCTGAATAGAGTCTTTGCGTGTTCACTTGACTGTAGAATACTTCCCTGGCTGGATACTCCCAATACATAGAGACCAAAGCCAGCATCAAATTCCCCTCTTCTCACCAAAGTGCCTTCTCTACCTGCTCTATGACGTAACGTTCTTTACTTTATAATTAGGCATGTGATTTCAATGACAAATGTCTGTGATAGTTCTAACAATGGCTTACATTTATAACAGGTGGTATGGAACTGATATAATACTTCCTGAGAACAGATTTTGAAAAGTGGAGGGAAAGAGGAGAACAAGGGACTGAGCTCCTAAGGTGAGAGAGAAGAGAGTTCTAGACGGGGAAAATGCTGGGCACATAAAATATACAAACATTTACTGCACCGAATAGAAGCTGGGCATGTTACAAAACCAAACCAGTTGCTTCTTCATTTTGAAAAGGGTTGGCTCTTCTAAGTAGGAAATGATAGAAAATAGAGGAAAGATTTGAACAATCGCAGGGTTAAGTAGTGCATGTACTTATTCACTCTTGAAATGTGTTATAGTAAAAAAACAACCCACAGGACAGAAGATAATAAGAATAATCTCAAAATACCTGGAATACTGAAATACTAGATAACTATATAGAATATCAGAATTTTAGAGCTTTAAACAAATTAGAGATAATCTGGTCTCATGCTTTCACCTCCATTTTCTGAGAAAGAAACTAATTCCTAAAACATTATGTACTTGGCCCAAAACCCTATAGCTAGGCAGTTAATCCAGCTTCAGTACCTCATAATAGGACTACTTCCTTATTTGAATGAAAGTATAATGCAGACACATTTTTAAAAGAACATTCTTGAAAATAAGCTGGTACATACCACTGTGTGGACTTGGTCATAGGTACTTTGGATTTTCCCATTTACTTTGTTTTTACCTGACAAAAACAAGAGGAAAATGACATTCTTTTCATTCTTCTTTTCCCTAAATCAATTCTTACTAGTCATTATGAAGACAACTACAACTCCTGCTCTAACTTGGGCCTATTATTTTATTTGCTCTCATTTCAAACACTGATTCCAATGATGTTCGAAACAAGGGATGATAGGAAGCAAGCCCAGCCCCATAAAGTCTTTGCACGTTCAATTCCACTGGCCCAGCTTTTTAACTTAGCATTTGTACACGTTATTGATTTTTGGCTCAGTTAGTGTTCATAGGTCAGAGATTGATTTAAAATATGACAATGGCCAAATAAATTGTTATCAATGATTGCTACTGTCAAATATTAGTTTACCATTTTTTTAAAAAAAATACTCACTATAAAAAAGATTCTGAAATATCAATGCTCAAATTCTGTTTACTTTTGTATTTTCACAAATATGGATAATGAGAATTAACTCATTTCCTATTACACAACTAATAAAATAATTTAAAATTTGATAATTAGGAAAAAATATTACAGAAAGCTCACTCAAATAGTTCTAGGTACTTACTTCCAACAATAGTCTTGTGATTAAAAATCTTACTCCAAATTCCACCTTCTACATTGTCTTTCACTCCGAATTCATAAACTGTGTCAGGCTTTAGATTTTCCACAATTGTTTCAGTGGCCGGACAGAGTTGAAAAATCCATTTCTTTTCCTTATCCTTTTCTCTATAGCGAATTGTATAAAATCTGTTGAATAACCAAAATATGCTATAAAACCACAGGGAGAGTCAGAAAGTACTTCCAGTTTCTTAATACATCATAGACTCCCACCTACTCTCAAGATTTCACATTGGCTTCTGTTTAGATTTTTTTAAATTTTCAGACAACATAAAAAAGTTTCTCCGTGCGTGCTTAAGTTTTTAATTTCTAATTGCAAGTTAGGGGACTAGGTAACAGCACAGTCATGGTCTAACAGAATTCCAGATCTCTCAATTCTATTATTTGATACTTACCAAAATGAAAGTTGGAAAACACTAGACATTCATGTTTTTCTAATTATGCAGAGAACATAGGCATATTTTTATAAATATTTAATATTATAATTTCATAACTGTATGGGTTTAAGCCCATGGAAGGTACATTAGAGGTAATATCGTTTAACACCATAGAAGGCACATTAGAGGTAATACCGTTCAATTTTGTAAAAGAGGAGCCTGATGCACTCTAATGCATCCAGGACTTTATTTCAAGGGTGAAATTTTCTTACTATTAGAAAAAGGATCAACACCAATAGTCAAGCTGAGAGTACAATGAGAAAAATCGAACAATGCAAATTCAAGATCACTGTTACATATTTGCTTAGGGCTTCATAATATTCAGACATATATATCACAAGGTACTAATAATCCTCACTGGTTTTTTTGCACCTTTAACACATGGTAGGTTTTATATATATTACCTCATTTAATTGTCACAAAAACATCTTAAGTGGTAGAAATCATTAATCCTACTTTACAAATGTGAAAACCATGTTTCAGAAAGATCTCTTAACTTGCCCAATGTCATCCAGCTAGTGATTTTTACTAGTGGCAGAACCAGAAAAGCAGGAAAAACTCCTCTGGCTCTGCTCTAAACAGTCTCACAAAGTGGGGAAGCAGGTCAGGAAAGGAAATTGCATTGCTACTGGATATAGCAACGAGAATGAATGAACTAGGGCTACGTGTATCAATATGGCTAAATTTTACAAACAAAATATTGAATGAAAATAGCAAAATGATGCATGTAGTTTCACATCATTTGCACAAAGATTAAAACACTCACACAAAATATGTTACCGTATATCATTCCTGGCAGTGTAAAGGGACAAGAAATACTGGAAGGATACAACATTTATGATAGTGCTTTGGCTCCCAGTGAGCAAGTAGGGAAATACATGAGACTAGAGATGGGGCCAACTGATAAACTTTATTTGCTTTTTATTCTTAAATAAACATTTTAAGTAAATAAAATAAAATAATAATTGTCATGTACTAACAATGGAAACATACATGCTTGTTATACTATTTTAGACTCTTTTTTTACATTCTAAATTTTCTCTCAAAAATTTAGTGCTTCTCCCCCACTCCTCACCCTAAGATTCAGGTCAATTGCTTTTATTTAAAGCCCTAAAATCCCTCATTTACTCATGCTAAAAATGTTTATCGTGTCCTCTTTAAGTGCCAGGCACAAGCTCTTGATACAAAAAAAACCCACCAAGAATCTTTGGAAACAAGGGCCAGGACTGGCTACATAATTTGTGGAGTTCACAGCAAAATGAAAACATGGAGCCCCTTATTCAAAAATGATTAAGACTTTTAAGACGGTGACAACAGAGCATTAAACCAAGCATGGGCCCTTCTAAGTGGGGAACCTGTGTGACCGTACTGGTTGCATGCCCATGAAGTCAGCAAGGGGGTTATAGTTTCTTAAGTACAGAAAAGGGATGTATTCGTACATTCAGCCTACTTTCTTACTAGTCACAAACTACTGAAATGCTCGAAATCATTCATTAGCTTGCGTCTTCCTCGTAAAAGCAGCTCTCTGGGCTCCATACCCCATTCCAAAGTCACGAAAAACAGAACGAGTGAAGGAGGCTGTTCCAGCCAGAACACTAACTGCTACTGGGAACAAATGTTACAGAATACGAATGCTCTGTGCCCCGTGAGTTGAACCATCAACAGTAGTTTATGAAACACATTTGTTGACAAGTACATCGAACAGAATTTCTGTCGTTTTTCCCATGCCCTGGCTATTACAGGACTTCAGGGAAGTGCAGAGAAACTAAAATCAGACCAGATGGGCCTCCAGAGTTATGCGTCTCTAGTTTGGATACATTTCTGAAGTCCTGAACTGCTTGCATGATCTGGTAGGGGTGTGGGGCAATGCTAACAGAACTACCAGAGGCCAGATTCCAGGATTCCCAGGAAGTTTGATTTTATATCCTCTTCCTAGGAATGAGACAGACATGTTCTAAGACTTTGTTGAAAAAAATCTAGCCTGTAAATTTTTTTCTATTTTGATCACAAAGCTTTCTAACTAACCTCTCTTGTACCAACTTGGTCAGGAAAAATAAAAGTACAGGCAGCTAGGCCTTCTCCTCGGCTTCAGTTAGGTTACCCTCACCAACATTGGCTTAATTGATACTTGTATAATATAGGCAAGTTCTAAATTTTAAAAGAGATAGTAAACAAGGCTACTTAGCTATAAAGTGGTGAAGTCTATTTTCTTGATTTTAAAGCAAAATATAGGCCTTATGATGATAATACTGTACAACCTAGCACAGAGTATGTACTCCATATATGTTGTGGAACAAATAGAATGGATACTTAGGTGCTCATAGGGTCATTCTAAAATTATAGTTGCTCTAAATGGCCAATGACTCGATCACCAAAATATTCTGATTTAAGCCATTAGGTCTACAATTATATTTTGCAATATGTTGTTGCATAAGAGTTCATTTACCAAACCTCAGCATTCTTATAGAATCAATGCAAATGGAAGGAGAGTTCAATAAATGTCTACATGGTACATTTGCAGAGGGCTTAGGATTTTTAAATTTATTTCCATGTATCCATACAATAAATTCTGAAGTGAGCACAGCAAGAATTATTATAGAAGAGAGAGGCCAAGAAGTGTCTAAAGCCTGAGAATCAGTGACAGAACCAGGCAAATGGCTGTTTTCTGACTCATAAGCTAATACCTTCTGTGTTGCATTGGACTATCTACTGCAGGGCTCAGCAAAAGGAGATGCAGAAACAAGGTAAAATGACCCAGAATGGAAGAGAAGTAAAAGGAATCAGAAGTTCTTTTAGCATTACTTAAGGCTTTCACATAATCACAGACTTCCCAATATTGTCTGAGGACATCCAGGATCAAAAGTTGATTGCACTTTTTTTCTGTGGTTAATTAAATTTGGACACAAGTGCATAGAGAGGCAACAAGTCTACTAAAGATGGAGGTAACAGCCAGTGAATGTCATCAGAGCAGACCTCTGCAAAGCCTGACTAGCAATTTGGATTTTAGAAACAAGGATATCTCACATCCTAATTAAGTGGTAAGCAACTGTTGAGGGCAGTGCTTGGTTCAACTGGTGATATTCTGTGCTTGGATCTCCCCAAGAGTCTCAAAACTGACAGTAATCGTTATTATAACTTAAAAAATACCATAGCTCCTCCAAATGTAATGGAGAAGGCAGATAGCGGCTTGGCGTGGATATCTGCCAGCTGCAAACTAGTAGCATGCCCTCAGGAGAGTCTCTTTGCCCACTTATAGATCAAATTTCTACTTTGAAAAAGAGGGGTTGGATTAGACAATCTTTGAATCCTTTCTGTTTCTAAAATTTTATTCTAGCTACAAATTAGACATTCTATTCTAATAAAATACAGAGGCATAACACAGGCTAGAAACCCTAGAGGCAGAAATCCCATAAATAAAATTTATGATGTAAATGGCACTGAATTCTGCCAAGTGGAGAAATTGAATAGTGTCAATAAATTTAGTCCTTTCACAAACTAGCCTGGATTGATGCACTTGGTTGGCCAGCTGTGGGACTTTCTATACTTTTTTCAGCAATTCTTTTATTTCTATGTGATTAATTACTATATTTCCTAGAACATCTATTCCACACATCACACATTTTTTTTGCTCTCTTCACATCAAAGGACACTTCCTGACTCCCCCCGTTGTCAATATCCCTGCTTCTTGCCTTACTGAGACTGTGACTGCTGATATAAAATCTGCCCTCACTCCCTTCCTCTCAAAAAGTCTCTCTCTCCCCCTTCACTCTCTCCTTGCCCCTCTCCAATTCCAGGGTTCTCCCTTCTTCTAAAAAATAAATGTCTTGGTAATTTTATTCCATTTTCTTATTCCACCTACTCTGCATCCTTTCTCTTGATTCTTCAAGGACCTTTCTCTGAGTCAAAAAGTTGTTGAACTATTTTCCACTATATCAAAGCAAAACTAAAACTAATACTTCTTATTCCTGCCATTACCTTTTAACACAAGATCTCTCAAAATTAATCTACTTTCTTCTGTTTTCTTACCACTCATAATGCCTAACTCTCTTTGCAGTCTGGTGCCTGACATGGTCAGATCCAATGATTTAATCATCTGTAGACTTCATAACTACTTTAAAAGCTACTCATCTTTTCCAAATCTGTTCCTATTCCTGTTGTCTTCACATTCCTTCTCCCTGTGTCCAATCAGTTTTCAAGTCCAGTTATATTTCCCTGAGTGATACCTCTTGCACTTGTCTTGCCTCTACTACTAAGTAACACTTAAAGGCCCAATTTGGGTTCTTACTATCTCTGGACTCTTAGAATAATTTTCAAACTGGTAAACCATTTCCAAAATCTTTTTATCACTCACTGCTGGCCTGTTTAAGCTCAAGAGAAAGAAGTTTCTAGTGATTTTAGCGCTATCTAAAATGGAACAGCTTGCCTGAAGTGGCAATTATCACATAAAATAACTAATATCAAAACTAACAAGACTAGCAGCAAACTCAGTATCATTTCTTTTTTTTCAACATCTTTATGGGAGTATAATTGCTTTACAATAGTACGTTACTTTCTGCTGTATAACAAATTAAATCAGCTATACGTATACATATATCCCCATATCCCTTCCTGCTTGCGTCTCCCTCCCAACCTCCCTATCCCACCCCTCTACGTGGTCACAAAGCACCGAGCTGATCTCCCTGTGCTATGCGG